GGCATACGATCAAGAATTTTCCATCGCGGTTTCAAGACTCCAAATGACCGCTCGATCACATTCCTACACGACGAGTGATAGAAATTGAATCGTTCTCGTGCATTGCGAAATCTTCGTCGTCTGCCTCTTGGCACCGCACGGAACTCCTTAAAATGATATCGAATATCCGATCATTTGTACGGCGCCATATATCACGGTCGGTGTGCAAATCCAGAGTCAACGAGATAGTACTTCCCAGGAGCAAGAACGGGAAAATTAATATCCGAATTATATACCGCGTTAGCCAAAATGCGATTGTCGTGCGTATTCCCTGTACACTCCAGAAGCACGAACGTGAAACATAAATTAAAATCGCAAGCTGCAAGCACGTTCTGCGTTGGATATCCTTTACGCCTTCTGAAATTCTCTCGCTCGTGGCGCGGTAAGACTGCCCTCACGTGTGTACCATCAATGGCTCCAATGTAATCCTGATCACCAGTCAAACATTATTGCGTTTCCTGTTTTCAAATAGTGACACATATTAGCACATACAAGTAATAGATTTATCATTGTAAACTGGAACAATGGATATGCAATAGGGTTTGGATGATGATGTCCGACTCCGTCATTGTATTGTGGGTCGGGCTTGATAATATTTCAGGCGAATGTGACAACAACTCGAAGTACTGCTTTGAAATGGTTGGATATCGTCTGCAACGAAAGGCCAAAAAGTGTTTGCAACTGTCTATATCCTTTCCCGTGCTCTGGAGACCGTACTCGTCACGTAGCATGTGCGTGAAAGACGTGAACATTCGTGGGTACATCCGAAACTCTTGAAAACACGTTTGTGGATATGCAAGCAGATTTTGTAGCATGAACAGATGACCACTTCGTACATAAGGAAATTGAAATCTTGGTTCATTTGATCGATGCAAATAGTCACGAACCACTGTTTCGAAAATGCGACAATATCCAAGCCACATTTCGATGTCCTCTTCGAGTTGTTGCACAACAACTTCGTCGTCCGAAGTATCCGACACATCGGAGTTTGGATGAAGGTTGCAATGCTGGAAACGATATTGTGACATGGTGCTTCCGATAATGCACCAAGAAAATAATTACTTTACCGATTTCAGGAAAAAATAATTCGGAAGGGGGCTGCAAAAGGTGTTTTTGGTGTTCCGGTGGCTTCATTTCAATGTATTGTTCTAAGTCTTAAGCTTGTATATATATTGGCCATTAGTAGTGTTGTTCCCTCCATGAAAAGACAATTGCAGGGAATCAATTCACATGTTAGATTTTTTGCATGACAAAGATTTCTTATTATGAAAAGGTG